CCAAGCTATCCCAGTGGTAGAATTCTCACCTTCTGTGCAGGGAGCTCTGGTGGCATAGTGCCTAAGGCATTTGACTGCTAAACAGAAAGCTGGTGGTTCAAACCCACCAGCCACTCCTTGGAAGGAAGGTTGGGCAATCTATTTCAATAATGATACTGCCTTAGAAACGCAAGGAGGGGTCACTATGAGTCGGATCCAACTCAACGGCAGTGAGTTTGGTTTGGTTTTATGCAGGACATCTGGGTTTGGTTCCTGGCCAATACATCTCATACACAGTCACCATCCATCTGTAGTGGTGACTTGTGTTTTGCTATGATGTTGAACATGTTTTAGCAAAGTTTTCATATTAAGACAGGCAACTAAAAATGTCCCGGGGCTCTCCTTCCAACGATTAGCTAATAAAAACTCTATGGATCACAATAGCACATTGTCTGATCTGCTGCTGATCATGAGAGTGACACAGGACTGTGAAACATTTTGCTCCATTGTGCATGGGGTCACTGTGAGTCACGGCCTGTTCAACAGAAGCAAACCACAGCAACATCTTTAAACAGGAAAGTTATACTTTGGCAGAAGACATTGATTAGCTCCATCTACAATAAGCCATGTCTCTAAATCCTGAAATTGTACCAACATGGGTCCTGCTTGGAAATTTTAATAGTATCATGTTCATTTGATAAATACAACTATCAGTTCTTACATGATTATCTTTTGTCTCTTTACCATTTTGCTTTATTGAACTGGTTGTCTATAAAAATCAAGACCTTTATTGTCTTAGAGCTTCCTCTTTTGATCTGAAGTGCCACTAGAAGGTACCAGAGTCCTTAATCATTCATAGGTGAGAATTTGCCATGACTTGCTTGCCTTTCACTACTACATTAGCTATAAGAATGAGATTGCAAAGACTTTTTAAGAGAAGAAAAGAAGTTATACATTATTTCCATCTGCCTCTGCCTGTTAACCATTTGAAATGCTATAAATTGTAGGGCAGTTTATTTGTTTATTTTTATTCAAAAGAATCATTATCCTCCTTACTTTCTTCGAAAACTTAAAAAAGCTATGATGAAGAATATCCCCAAATCCCACTTCACACATTCTGGTAAGTCTCCCATAGTTTGGTCCACTTTGCATCTTTATGATTTATTTTCTCCTCATTCCAATTCTATAGACAGTCATAACCTAGCCAGTTGTCAGCAAGTGGGTTCCTACTCATGGCAACCCATACATGTCAGGGCAGAAATGTGTTCCATAAAGTTTTCAGTGGCTGATTTTTGGGAGTAGATCACCATCCCATTCTTCCAAGTAGATTTAAACCACCCACTTTAGGGTGCACCACCCAGGCTGTAGACAGCATTACTGAGCATAGTTTTTCTTAGATGAAGTAAGAATAAGACAGGGTAGAATATTGCAAATTCAGTCAGTTGTGGTATAAGCAAAACCAAAAACCAAAACCAAACTCACTGCCATTGAGTCGATTCTAACTCATGGCAATGCCCTTTGGATTTCCAGGGTAGTAAATCTTTATGGAAGTAAATTGCCCAGTCTTCCTACCGCAGAGGGGCTTTTGGGTCAAGATTTAGTCTAAAGACACTCAAACTTTGGAGATTCTGGAAAATATTTAGCTGTATCTTGGATTGATATTTAAATGCACTCATAAAGTTTCTCCTCTATTTCATCCTTTCCTCAGGTTCTGGAAAGACAGATGAGTATCTCTTGGCCAGGTTCAAAGGCGATGGTGTAAAATACAAGGCAAAGCTAATTGGTATTGATGATGTGCCAGATGCAAGAGGGGATAAAATGAGCCAAGACTCTATGATGAAACTGAAGGTAAAAGGAAGGAGAAAACAGTGCCTGTGTCTTCAGCAAATGTCCAACATGAAGGAATTACATTAGAAGCTATTTGCCCATATCTCAATTATTTGAAAAAAAAAAAAAAATTCTAATCACATATTTGATCTAGTAGAGCCTCATTTTATGAGAAGCCTTGAGTTAGCATGTGTATTTGAGCACTGTTCTAGGAGACTAATTTAATCAAGTAAAGCAGATTTCAGGTGCTTTTCCTTTTTAGTAGATTCAGCATTTGAACTAACAAAGCTTATCCCTATCACTTCCCTCATTGAATAAAAGCTATGTGCAAATGTGTTCATTATTTGTCTCACTTTATGAAGAGAGGAAAGAATATCTTATTTTAGATCCTGAGAATGTTCAGGTGAAATTCATGACTCACCTTGGGAACTAGTGTCCTTAAGTATTAACCCTTCAGTTTCCTGAATTTTTAAATTCTAGTACTATGTTTCTTTGGGAAAATAATTAGTTAAATAATGCAAAAGCTAGAAATACCATCTTTATCAATATTCTAGTTCAGCCCCTTGTCTTTACCAAGGATGATTCTGAAGCCAAGAGAATTAGAATGACTTTTCTAAGTTCACAAAGCTAAGTCATGATGTCTTGGCTCAATGTCTTCTCTTCCATCTACTGCCTCTTGTGAAAGGTACCTGTGCCTTACATAGATAGTAAACCAAGCTGAAAGCAAAGATGACTGACTTTCTTTTACACTCTTAATATTAGAAGTCTTGAAGAGTATGTTTAATTAGATGTTTTTGTTTGTTTTCTAAACCTCATCAGGGAATGGCAGCAGCTGGTCGGTCTCAGGGACAACACAAGCAAAGGATCTGGGTCAACATTTCACTTTCTGGGATAAAAATAATTGATGAGAAAACTGGGGTAAGAATTCACTTTCACTAACATGGATCTGACTACCCAAGTCTGACAGTTTGCTACTTGAATTTAATACACCCCCCC